CAGTTTCCAGTTTGTCTGTCGAGTTCTTGGTATATTGAATACCCTTAAAATACAAGAACGTGTTCTTTTTGTTTATTATTTAAAACAAATTGTAAAATTCTAATATTTATATATAATATTTTTCAACAAATAAGATTTGAAACGCAGTAAGGCATTCCCGGATGTAAGCAAAGCTTTTTACTATTTAAGGAATAGAGTAACCCAACGGCGGACACCTTATTTCGTTCTTTTTCACTGTCAACAATTTGTTGCATCCACATCCGAGGTGGCCAAAAGAGGGGGCCTTGCGAGGGGAGTGTCTGTGGCAGCCGCACAGCATCACAAACCTTCAATGACGGATGGCGACCTCAATGCAAGCCACACGTTTCCGAGGCTTTTTTTCGGCTTCTCGGTCTTGGTCAAAGCTTTTTTTTTCTAGTTTTGTGTGAGCTAGTGGAAGCTAGTACGTGCGGTTTTCTTATTTTGTTGTTGATGTTGTTGTTGTTTTCTTGCGGTTGTAAATTTTGCAATCAAATAATTTTTCATTCGCTTTTCCAGCGATCCATTGGTCCGCCCTGCCTTCGACCCCGCGGAAAACACCAATGCCGACCTGATTTTTCTTTTCATTTTTTTGTTTTTGGGTTTCGTGAGGAGGCGGGAGGAAAGTGTTTGCAGCTTGACTTTGGCCAAAACGTTTTGACCTTTGGCGCGGCATCGTGTTCGAACATTTAAACGGAAGTTGATTGCCGCCAAAGGTTAAGCCCAATTTCCGTTCGAGTTTTCTAGGAAACGCTAAGAACTCAATTTCCATCAGATCAGCAGCAGCTGTTGCCCGCTTCGTGTTGTGTTGATGCAGTTTAGAGTTCATTTCGCTGGTCAATTGCTTGGGTCAGACATTTAGTTGCCTGTTAGATGGTTAAATAAGTTATTTTTTTGTCTTCGAGGTAAGGATAGTTTGGTCGATCAATTGCCGCCGAGATTCTGTGGGAGATTGTGAAGGGATTTAGCTGGGTTAGTTGTGGGATGTATCTGTATACCATAACGGCAGATCGTTTAGCTAATTGGAGATAGTTTAATTTTAATTGGTTCTCTATATGGTAACAGCCTTTTCTTCTTAATTCTATATAAGGTTCTGGGTCGAAATTAAGTAACCTAGTTTTTATCAGGTTTGTGTCTTAAGTCTTTTGTTTGTGACAGCTATTTATAAGTTATGGAAAATGGTTTAAATTAGGAGAAATTAATTCTCGAATATTTATGAACTATAATTTATTGTAGGTAGAGAAATAAATTTATCATAACTATATAACTTTGATTTTTTAAATTTATAGTTAATAATTAAATCATCAGGCTCGTTGAAATTTGACCTATTGTCAAAATATTAAACAAAAAGCTAACCCCAGCCTAATCAACACATTAAACCAAACTAAAAGAAAAAAAAACGGAACCCACAGAAAGGTCATAAAATCACTCGACTGTCAAAAATTCGCACTAATTCGTTTGGAATAACCGTTAAAAGGGGTTCTCTCAGCCCGGCCAACTGACTTACATAGCTGTAATTATAATGCCCCCAGTCGCAGGCGATCTCCGTCAGCTGACATTGTCCATTGTGGAGTCTCTTGACCATTTACAAGCTCAAATTACAATAGCGGCCCATTGTGCGTCGCCTCCCCCGCAAATTGTGCGGTGGTGTGAGTGTCTCTCAGGTGTGTGCTTCAGGTGTGCTAAGTGTGCGTGCGTTTGTGTGGGTCGGTAGGAGGATGGTGGCCATTCAAATGCAAACGGAGCGGCAGACCACCGTTACAATGTGGCTCATTAAAAGCAAAACGCTCATGTAGCAGGCGGCAGCAACAATAAAACGCCGGTCAAACAAAACTAAAAAAAAATGTGTAAAATCTGACGCGCAGTCAAACAATAACAATAGGCGAGTCAGATACCGATTCTGAGTCCGAATCTGAATCTGAACCTGAAACTCTGGAATTGAAGCCACAGAATGGGAATGAGTGGGGTTTTTGTTTGCCATAAAAAAATTTCACGCCAATTTCAATTCTTCTGTGTGCTATAAACTCAGCATCGGAACGTCACTTAAAGCTTAAGGCGCTCCAAGTACACTATTAAAAATTAATAAATTACAAGTTTTTCTATTATTATGTTGTATAAATATTTTTCAGAACTAAAAAGCAGTGTAGTAAAAGCTTTTGAATATCATTGGTAATATCATTTTGGACAGTGAAGAAGTCATTTTCGACCCTATAAATCATATATATTCTTGATCAGAATCAACAACAGAATCGAATAAGCCATGTCCGGTCGAAAAATAGGTTTTTGAACTTTATTCAAAATTTCAAAATTTTATAAGGGGTTACACCGTTAAAATTTTCAAAAATTGAAAAAATGTAAAATTTTTTAAATTTTAAATTGAGTATGCAGATTTATTAATTTAACAAAAACTACCATAGTACAGCTTTCCGTATTAAAATATATGCTTTTTTAACTTAGTTATGACATTTTTAAAATTTTATTGGGCGTAAAATCTGTTACCAAATATTATTTCAAAGAATGCAAATATTTTAAGCATACTTCAAAACTACTCAAACTTCAGCTAAGCTTCCTTTTTTCTTGCTTAATTTAAAATGTTTTCCCTTAGTGTAACGGTCTGCAATTTTAAATTCATAAAATCAAAGACGAACGTGAAACAACAGCACAAAAGCCCACGAAACTGTGCCAACAACAATGTTGGTGTAATGAGAATGAGCATGAGCATCCAAAAACTCAGCAATTACCAAGTCAGCAAGAAAGAGAGGGAGAGAGAAAGATCCAAAGCGCCAAAGCCGGGCTCCATCGGATGGGGCTTCGGCTTTACGATCGGGCTTTGCCGAACGCGGAAGTATGTCAGCAGGTCTATTCGTCGTCTCTCGGCTAACGGTAGTTTTTCAGCCGCTCCTCTGCCGCGGCCACTGCTCTGCCGCCACGCTTAGCTGCGCCTGCTTAGCTGGCTTGACGTTGAAATCGACGTCGACGTCGGCTGAGCGACTGTTGTGGCTTCATCTTCTGCTTTCCGCATGCTAGCTGAACTAGCAACATGTTGCTGGCAATCTACAAAAACAAAAGCAAAAATGTACAAATGTAAATGTTGCTTAGCTACAACGCCAACCTGTTGAAAGCGAAATTTTCTCTTTGCAGCTGGACAGTGTCTAGCTTTGATTTCTGCCTCTTCTTTGCCGCCTTCTTCTTCATTTTTCTTCTTCTTTTGGCCAAGCCTCGAAATCAAGCTAACTGTTTATGCACAAAAGACAGGGACAGACAGAGTAAGAGAGGGGTGTCTCTTGTTGCTTTACCGTTTCTTTCATTTCATTTCGTTTCATTTTGTGTTCCAACTAGTTAACCAACACACTATATACTAGGAAAAATATAGGTAATAAAGTAATTTAAAAAATGTCTAAGGAAAAGGTTTTATTAATATCATAAATCTATCCAAATATAAATTCAATACGAATGTTAGATAGCTCTTGGCCATATTAAAAGTATATTTCTTTTATTAACTATTTCTTAAAAGTATTTTAATAATTTAATTTGTCCAAAGATCCATGCAGGCTAAATGGATCATAATTGTATAAGTAAATTTAGTTAGAAATTCAAAATATTCTTCTAAATCCCTGTTTATAAATGAGAATTGATAAAGGATCATCATCCATATTTTTGCTAGTTCCTCTTTTGTAATAGTATAAGTTTAAGCAATTAATTAAAATCATTATCATAGAAAAATCTAACATTTTCTCATCTTATTTTAATTTTAAAAGATTATCTTTTATTTCTTTATGTGTACCGTTTAGTGTGGGCCACCTCTGCCTCTTCTCATTTCTTCTTTTTATTTTTATTTAGCTTTTTTTGGGTCTACACACCTGTGTGTTTTCGTTGATGTTGTTGTTGCGCTTTCGTTGGTCGGTCTTTATATGAAGTTGGATCGGTGGTGCCTTGAAGAACTTCCACTTGGTTGGGTTCCAATCAAGCGTGTGCACCATCGCAATACAAATATCGAATTCGATCACACATTCGTGGCCAAATGCGTTCTTCTATCTCTGTCGCTCTAGCCAGCTAGCCCCCTCTCCCGCTGGCCCCACCAATTTATATGCTAATTTAACTGATTATTAATGTTTTGACCCAAATACCGTTTGGAAATTATTATTGGCCGATTCTGGTATCGATTTTTTTTCGGTTTCTTCTTCTGTAGTTTCCTATGCATCTCATGATGTTGCTTCTCGTTCCCCTTTTTTTTGGGAATTTTTTTTAGACATTAAGGCTTATCGAATGTCTTAACTTAATCTCTTTCGCTGGGGGGGAAATATATATACGAGTCTTAGTCAACGGGCGGGCCAGAAAATGTTTTCTTAGGTTTAATATTTTCATATTAAAGAATCATTAGTGAGGTCTAATCTGGAGGTAGGGATCGATGTGTCAGGTTGTCAGCAAGTGCAGGGAGAATCCGGGGAAGCGTAAGATATGGGAATTAATTAAATATTTTAAGGTTTGGGGTCTCCATCTCAGCGGAAGCCCAGTGTAAGCTTAATTTCAATCTAAGATCGGGTATAGACCTCTTGGGGATTTCTTGAGATATTTTATCTGTGAATGGTTTAGATCTTATGGCTTAAGTTTGATGAATAAAGCTAATGCCAAATGGAGTATAGGGAAAACTTGAGTAATACATAAGGTATCAGGCTAAAGACCATCATTACTTGCATTATTTGAACCTATTTAGAAGAATAAATTAATCACAGTTCAAGAATTCTGGATAATACTAAGACTTCATGCTATTTTGTTAATGCTTCAAACTTCTCTAACACATTCCCCTAGTAGATAATCACAATCAACATAAACAAATATAAAACATAGTATGTCTGACCATTATCCCACCATTTTCTTTCTAATTTTCTTTCAGAGTAAACATAGATCCCTGGAAAGAGTATTAACAGCTTAACCCTCGGATCGCCACAAGATTCGCCTCGATCACCTGGGTCCCACTGACAATGAAGTTTTGCAGCATGAACGGCCCAAGTGAATCGGAAGTTGAGAGCCTGCTGATGAGTCCATGCTGGGGACCACCCCAGACCTCCGCCCAGGACCAGTATCTGCTCGATGGCCACAAGTTGCTGCTGGAGCACGACCTGGACTCGCTGCCCAGCGATGCGGACCAGAAGAACTCGCTGGATGTGCTGGATAACCTGCTGCTGAACGGCTCCTCGCTGAATGCCCTCTCCGACCTGAAGCCGCTGCCTCCGTTCACCGGCTATACCGGCCATCTCTCCATCAATGGGATCTCCGGCCACCATTACCATGCCATTGCCCAGAGGCTGCCGGATGAGAGCAACAACAACTATATGCAGAGTGCCTACCAATCGAATCCCACATCCACGACACAGTCGAGTGCGGGAGTCAATGGCAACAATAGCAGCAATTCCAACTCCAATGAGCACAACATCGTGTCCTCCTCCACCTGCCTGCCCGAGAGTGTCCTGAGCGGGAGTGGTGGCGGCGGCGGTGGGGGTGGTGTTAACGGTAATGGAGGAGCAGATGCCTGCCTGGCAGATGTCAAGCTCTTCGCCGATAGTCAACTAGATTCTAAGCTTTACTCCGTCGCCGATAGCTGTGTGATGAGCGGCTCCGTAAATGGATCCTCGGTGAATGGCAATAATGGGCCAGGTCCCAGCATAGCCACCTTGACGCCCATCGATCAGGTGGCCGATTCCCTGCACAACAGCGGCGTTCGCATCTACAAGGACCTGACGGAGTATGTGGATATGAACTCCATAGACGACATAGCGGCCATTATAGGCTCCGCCATTGCGGACACCACGGTGCCCAATCAGTTGGATAAGGACGATAACAATGACACGCGGGACAGCTGGATGGATCTCGATGCCTGGATTGATGGCAATTGCATACAGCAGGAGTCGGCCAAGGTCCTGGTCTCGCAGCAGGACTCCCTCGGTGACTTCATGCTGCCCCACAGTCCCCTGCCCATGCACGCCAGCAGTTCCACGCTTCAGAGCCTCCTCAGCCACGGCTATATGCCGCTGCTGCAGAATCGCCTCCAGAACGGTCCTCCAAATGGAGGCTCCGCGGGCGGCGGAGGATCACAACAGGGTGCTGGCGGCAAGGGGGATCCACAGGCGCCCACATCTACCTCTTACTGCAACGAACTGGCGGCAGCCACTAGCAGCAGTTGCAGTCCGCCCGGATCTGTGGTCAGCACCACGGATAATCCCAACGGTCTGATGATAAATCCGCGCTACTTGAGCAATCCCCGGGCAGCAATCAGGCGACGGGGAATCCCCATCAGCAGGGTGGCTATCCCATGCAGAACTCTGGAATGTCCTTGAAGGACAACGGTCTGTGCTCACCCGACCTTCTGGGCAACTATCCGCACACCACAACGGCCAGCACGACGGGTTCGGAGCTGCGCACCGGTACACCCAAGGCCAAGCGATCCCGCTCCCAGAAAAAGTCCAGCCAGCAGCAGCAGCAGCAACAGCAACAACAGCAGCAGCAGCAGCAGCAGCAGGGCGAGACCGGTGGTCCGCCCAACAGTACGCCCCAGATGAGCGCCATCTCGCCGTCGGGCTTCAGTACCAGCGATCTGAGCGGTCTGCTGGGCAAGGAGAAGCCCGTCCACCGGTGCAGCATCTGCAATAGGGGCTTCCTCAACAAGTCCAATATCAAGGTGCATCTGCGCACTCACACGGGCGAGAAGCCCTTCCGCTGCGATGTCTGCGCCAAGGCCTTTCGCCAGAAGGCGCACCTGCTCAAACATCAACAGATACACAAGAGAATTGGGCGTGACTGACGCTCCTCTATGAGCTTTATGTTATAGCCGAACAACCAGTAGCATCTACCAGGGAGGAGTTTCATAACCAGCACAGAATTAAGGTTTAAATCAATCAAAAACTACATATCAACAGGTCATATATATTTTCGTTATGAATTCCATGAAATCTCTAGAGAGTTTTAAAAACAATTGTTTTGGTTCATAATCTTTGTTTTTAAAACCTTTGGAGAGTTTCGGAACTTACCTTTAATGGTATTTCAGTTGATAGATGATTACCTTTTCTGTGTGAAAGCTGATTCCTTAGCAATTTTGGTTCTGATCAGGATCTATATTGTTTAAAGATTGGCTTCCTTTGGGTGGCTTCTCCCTGTTTTCTCTGCGTGCGTGTGTGCCAGTGCTTGACCAGGCCAATGTCTGTATATCTCTAGATATTCAGAGATTGGCCAACCTATATATCAAATATATATATATAGAAGATCATTTATTACTAGGCTATGCAGTGGCATACACACACTTTTTGTTATTCGTTGTTGTTGGTTGCTTTTGATCTCTTTGGTTATTCCATTTATTAGAAACAAAATGCAGAATAGAATTTTAATTCAAAATCTTTAAGGGAATATTATGGGAAATAAAATATAAATAAATTCTTAATACTATAAAAAGAAAGACAAAGTTTAGTAATACAAAATCTTAAATTGGTAAATACCTTTTGGCTATGTTAGATCCAAGTTTAGTTTTGAAATACTACCTAAACATCAACCTACTACCTCCAGACAAGCATAGTATGGAATAGTAATATTATCCATTGTAATTATTTAAAATATATGGTAATATCTGTAACTATATGCAGCATCAGAGATCACGAAAGAAAAGCCAAAGAAATCACAAGCAATGTAAGAACAACGAAGCGTCCAATTGTCATTCTGCAACTGTTGTTCTGTTTTGATGCAGGGTCGCGTGCTTCGAGCAACCAAGGTCCTGGCACAGGTAAATTAAATATTTATAACATATATATATAAACAATAAACAATCTAGACAATAATACCCATTTAGGGAGGGGAATTCGTGGAAGTTGTATAAAGTTCTAAATGTTGTCTGTACCTCATCATGTTGAAAACTGAAAAGTGACGCATACAAATTACAATTTAATTCTAAAACTAATCAAGCAAAAAAAGCAATAACAATTTTAAATTAATTACTTTTAAAATGTACAAACCAATGGAAAAGCATTAATTCTTAAATATACATCTTAATATATACAAACAATAGTTTAAGGATTTTGTAGCGGGCTTGGCAAAATATTATTCATAATAATTAATTTGCAAAAATATGAAAACGTTGACAGAGATAAATCTAAACCGAAATCGATGGAAATGGAAATAAAAATGATGAAAATCGTTAGCAATGTACTCAAGTAATAAACTCGATTTAATATAGCCAATATCATAAAGCGTTGTTAATTTGTTTTTTAAAAAGTTTGTTGCTAAAGTTTTAACGTTATTCTTAACCATAAATTATGTTCGATATACCCGAAATTATTTATCCCTAATTTTTGAACACACACAGCACACAAAAAAGAAAAACATAAAACACACACAAAAAATCTACATAAATTCTAAAGTAATTTAATGATATTTTTAAATATATGTATGTATAATTTCTATTAAACAACAAAAAGGACAATATTAATTGTGTTATTTTAGTTATCGTGCAATTTTATTTATTTTTACAAAAGCAAACTTGAATTTTGTTCAACACATTTCGATTTGTAAATATTTATTTCATAACTGTAATGCTTAATATTTAATTAATTATATTTAAATAAATTCAAATGTCATTCAAAATGTGCAAAAAAACAAAATTAAGCCTACAATTTGCCGAAGGTGTTTTATTTGTGGCAGTTATTAAGGTAAGTTTTGAATCGAAAATATATTATATTGCATTTCTCGGTGTCTTTTAATGAACCACATGGCGTATGCGTAATAAGTAAAACCCTGAATTTTAATGGAAGATTAAGATAGAGTCTTGCGTCTTTTGGGTGTTGCCCCACAGAGCCCCTGCTTTTATGAGTCCCATTAGCAACCTGACGGTGTCGCATTGAGGCACGTTCGGCCACAAAAACAACAACAACAAGAAATGGAGTAGCAGCCACAAAAATATGCGAACAAAGTCAAGTCAAGACCGAGACCAAGAGCAAGAAACCAAACCAAACTAAACCAAACCAGCCAGTCGGGTAGAATCATTATATTGACCACAAAGAAAGCCAGCGAAGAAAGAGCCAAAGAAAGAGCAAAGAGGCGAAGCCCACACAGTTGTTGGGGATATATATACATACATATATACTCGTGCCTCACAGTTACAGCCACAGCTATGGAAAAAGATACAGATACAGAGCCGGAGAATACCATGCATACTGTGCCACTGACCCAATTTCCAGACTCGTTTCCACACAGAACCGCAGCGGATTTGAAATGTTAAGATACTAAGATACTTTGCTCTTTCACCGCAGCCCGTCTGGAGGTAGACACCGATATACACCTCTATATAGGTATATATATATTTATATATATTTATGTATGCATCGGTGTGTATGTCTGGCAAGTAGGGGTCTCCAGTTCGCATCCGCATTTCTATGCCGCTGACTCCGAGAGTCTTCATCTGCTGGCGCGCCAGCTTCTTGATGTATCTATAACTCGTTTCTGTATCTCGAGCCTTGTATCTGTGGCACTTAAATTTATGCAACATCATGGCTGCTGCTGCGGCTGCTGCGACTGTTGCTCCGGCTTTGCTTGTGGCTTCGTTTTGTTCTAATCAAACTGTGCTACGTGTTGCGGACGTCGCCAGTCATGGGTTAAGCTTTTGTTATATTCTCAGAACAGCAATTGGAGGAAAGGTCTTATACAAGATCAGTCAACAAAATATATTAGTTTTTATTAACAAAAATAAGTATTTTAAATAAGATAATTTTAATTTTTCTCTAAGTTTAAAGAACATATATTTCTAAACAAAAAAGTTATATTTTTAATAACGAAAGAAAAAGATAATTTATAAAATAATACTTCATACCGTTTCTACATCCAAAAGTATAGTTAAAGTACCTTTAAAGTAACTTAAAATATTATTTCCACTTCGAATATATTATTACGTCCCCATTTTTCTCTGTGTAACCCTGCAGCTTCTTTAATTTAAAGATTTTGCCAAAAGAAAACCTAATGATGTAATTTTAAATGCATTAGAAGCGCTGAAGACACATTTCCGTGGAATCTCTTTTATCTGTTTCTTTTCTTCATTTTTAATTAAAGTTTGTGTCAATTAAAAGTAATTTTCCACTCTCTCATCTCAGAGTTTTAGTTTTTTTCGGCCACTTAATTGCATCCAGCTAACAATGTGGCTAAGCATGACCCAGATCAAGGTGTCGGTGGAGATAATATGAATGATGAAGGGGGAATCCTAAGATTGAAGTGGCCAAGATTGAAATGCCTAAGCAGACATTTAGGTTGGTTTAAGCAGCTTGTGAGTTGAATAATTGGAGGAAGATGGAGAGTGAAAAAGATACAACAAAGTGGAAATAAAAGATGATTTTAAGACTTATATATTTCTTAGTTAGAAAATAAAGTGTAAATAAGTCATTCTTTAAAAGAAGCATATTTAATATATTATTTTATAGTACATAAAATATTTCCTTATTCATTTTTGTATTCGAATTACCCGCATTACAATCTTGAATTGGATTACATCCTGTTAACCGAGAGCAATTGATAGGCCAGCCTCTTCTCGACCTTTCTCAGCCAGTCGAGACTCGGGGTATTGTTCCCTCTGTCCAATAATCATAAGATTGCAGTCTGCAGTTGAAGCTGGCTTATTTTTCTGGCTCATGCAGTAGCAACTGAAAACTATTTCTTCCACTCGAAGTCTCCAGTTCCTTTGCTGATTCACTCCACGACTTGATAGACAGCCAGGCTAAGATAGTCGTTATATACTCTTCGAAAGGGGTATGACAACTGTGCAGATTAACTTGTTATTATTACAAATATTAAAACCATAAAATGTATTTAATGTTTTAAATTTTTTATAGCAATAATAAATATATGAAATATAAGATATTCAATATCCAAAAATATAATATTATTTATTTAATTGCTGCATAGATTTTCTATTCAAAACTCTTTGTATAAGCTGCATAAAATAGCAATTAGAAAAGAACTTCCTTATAAAAATCCCAGCTCAAAAATCAGGGGAAAGCTAACTAAAAATGTTGAAATAACATTTCGGTATACTTAAGACTGTATCAAAAACCGCAATATGTTAAAAAAAAGAAGTTTAAGAACAAATTGTTTAATTATTCCAAACAAAGTAAGGTAAAGAATTAAGTAGTACGTTTGAAAAAAAAAAACATCGATGTCATGTTATAATAAAAATATAAATAATAAAGGCTCAATACCTTTTTGCTTAAGGTTATAATAACTATATTCAGTAGAGTTTCACGTTTAATATAAAAATTTCATAGAGATATCTTTAAGACATTTTTACAGAGTATACACTTAATTCGGTGTCCAAAGGCTATGGTCTTTTCTGTCTTGGTTTTTGCTGGCCAAAATAGCAAATCGGGCGTCGGTCGAGTCGTGTCGCCGTCGCATATTCATATTGTCCAGCAGTTGCAAGTTGCTAGTTGCTATTGGCGATGTTGTTGCTGCTGCTGCTGCCTTGTTATTTTGTGCTGTGGCGCAGTTAAAGACACAATGACCTTGGGTGAAAGTTGCTCTCCATTTCTATTTTGTGTCGGTGTGTGTGTGGTGTTGTTTATTTTTTGTTTGTGGCCCATTCACTGCTGTTACTGTTGATGTTGCTGCTGCTGCTGCTATGCCATTTTTTACACACATATATTGTTATTTTTAACGATTTTGCCTTGTATCCATATTTGCTTTTGTCGAGCGGCCGTCTCGCCTCTCTCCCCTCGCATCACATCTTCCCTTTTTGTTTACACCCGTGATTTGTGTGTGTGCTGTTAGTTTTGATTACTTTTGCTCTTGATTGAGACTTTGATTGATGCCAGCCAGGGCAGAAGAGGGGGGAGACATTGGTTGGACGGAAGGAAGAGTAGCTGCAAAGCAGAACGGAAATGGTTTGCGTGCCGGAAGTTGGAGGGATCAAGTGAGATCCATACTTGGACTTGTTAAACGTCAAATTTCGCAATTTTTCATAATTTATGCACCCGCTCTTCGTTCTTATTTATTATTATTTTTTTATTTTTGGCAATTAAAAAAATTAAACTCACTAGCCAAGTGCAACTTTTGATTTTGCAACCGATTTCCAAGTCTCTCAAGTTTTTGGTTCATTTTTCACGCCTCGCCAAGCAGCTGGCCAAGATTCTAAAGGAGAATAAATCATGTCTGTAATAACATTATAATCAATTATTAATATTTAAGTATGTTGTTCTGGTTTAATTATTGTTTTTGTTCTTTTTCCCCTGCTGCAGCTGTCTGCAGCAAAACTTTAATTAGCAGCAAAAGCAAACAGTGCACAACGAAAATCTTATGAAATACGCAATTAAACTTGATTATTATTACGAGCCTAAAAAACAAAAAAAAGAAACGGAAAGGCAACTAAGTAACACACAAAACAATATTGTAACAAGATCAAAGACAAGAACGTTGAAGGTGAAGCTTTCAAAACTGGTTAATTACAATTTTTGTATTTAAATATTATATTATTATTATAGAATGTGACTTAACCTAGTTATAACCAAGACCACACACAAGAACTCTTGTAATTTACAGGGAAAGTCTTTAAGCTTAACGCAAAAATATTTCACTCCATTAATTCCGTTTCGTTGTCAAGTTCGTGGTGCATTTTAATGGCACACACGATGGATGGCCTAAAACTGGTTGAGAACACGGTTCAAGCCAAAAAAAAAAATCCAAAATAAATAGCAACAACAACAAACGAACAAAAACAGACGCGACGCGACTGCAATTAATTTACAATGCACAACAGCAACAACTGCAACTGCAACAGCAACAACTGCAACTGCAACTGCAACAGCAACAGACGGCGCGTGATCTATGCGATCAATGGTCAGTGGGGGCTGGCTCCGAGGGGAGCCGGCTGGCCAGCGACAAGTGACCCCATTTTTATTGAAGCCTCTATACGTGCGGTGTTGCTGTTGTTGTTGCTGCCGTTGCTTGTTCTACTTTGAAATTTCACTTTTCAAACGCCAGCTTATGCTGTCTGCGTGTGTGTGTGAGCAAAAAAGAAATATATAATTAATAAGCCAAATATATCATGTTGTGCTAGCGTGCGTGAGTTCAAAGTTATTTCTTATCCCAGTTCGTTGTCTAAGTCTTTTGTCTTACGGGGGGCAAGTTCGTTGCCTAAGTCTTTCTGAATGCAACGCAAATTTTGCATACCGAAACATGGCGGAAAGGTGTACCGTAAATATACAAAACAAAGATACAGCATACGAAGAAATAAAGTCCGCACGATATGTTGTATGCTGGGGAATATATACATATGTATATCGAGAGAGCCATAAAGAGCAGGCCGCAAATAACCAATGCAGCCGGAGGAGAGCAGCCAAGACCAAGGCAACAACATTGACGATTTAACCTCAAACTTCAAAGTGTCACTGTCATGGCCCTTTTTACTACTCCAAGCAGCAAGAGCAATAACAAAAACATCAGCCAACCATCGTCGTAGTCGTCGTCGTCGTCGTGGTCGTCGCCATAACCTGTTGGCAATTCAGTTTATGACTTTTTTGCCCGGCACTGTGGGACCAACTGCCAAAAAGCTGAGCTGAGGGGTCGGCAATTGATTAATAAAAAAAGTTAAGGATGTAAAACCATTAAAGGGAAATAGTAATAATATACAATAAATAAATAATAATAATAGTATAATATAATATAATTGTATTAAATAAATACAAATTTTAATGACATATCTTTGATCAATAAAAAAGTAATTGCAAGCATTTGAAATAAATAAAATATATAGTATAACAAGCATTAATTTTTTTAAATATATATCAATAGTTTTTTATATTTATTACTTTCTCAAGTCTTTTAAATTATGATTTGTTCTTATTATGGGATATTTTTTCATGTATATTAAAACAAAATATAAAGAAGTCATGGATTAATATCAAAATAATTATTTTAAAAATATTTAATCAATACCCCAACAAATCAGAGCTTTCACCACCTCCTTGGCCCACTGTGCGGGCTCACGTATTGCCACCAAAAGTGGGTCAACATGAAACAAGCCAGAAAAGAGTAAGAAAAAAAGCGGCAGCAGCCACAGCCGCAGCAACAATACCACTACCAATACAAATATCACTACCACAACCATTGCCAACAACAACAACGCCAAATCACGCTGACGAACTGGCTTAGAGACTGGCTCGAAGAAAGCCCCACAGAGCGAGTGAGAAGGCAACAGGCACACACACACACACACACACGGACTGAAACAACTTGTTGAATTGCCTGGGCTTAAAGCAGTTGTAAATTTATTTTCGGGGTTCGGCCTTAAGGAATTTATGTAAAGTCGTCGTCATAGTTGCAGGCGCAGGCGCAGGGCTCAGGCAAAAACACAGGCAAAGGCGCCTTGGGAGGCTAAGGGGGCGTGATCCATGGGATCCAGAATGATTTACGGACTCAACAGAGATTTACTAATATTTTAGTGATACTAAAATATTTTAAAACAGTACATGCTTAAGTTAACAATTAACCAATTTTTAGTAACCAACTCTTGTAAAAAAATTTAAAATTACACATTTCTTTTTATTAACTTAATCAGTAAATATTTTTAATATAAGACTTTGGTTAAACAATTACTTTATATATGTATTATCTTTTCCGAGCCCAATTTTATTAGGTTAATATATCTGCACACTGAACTTACAATCTTTTAAATTAATATTTGGTAAGTTTTTAATAAGTTTACAATTTTGTACAATTTTTTAAACATTTTTTTATTTGTTTACATTATTTTATTATTAGTTAATTTATATTCGAATATACATCACTTTTGTGTAATTGGACATCTTATGTTTGTATACCCGTGCAGTTTAAAATTGTATTATAGGATCGAATCGTAAATTGATCAATTTTTTCGACAAATTAAAAATTTTAAAAACTTATAACTCAGCTAAATACGCATTATTTTAATTCGTAAATCACTCCTATATTTGTTTTTAGTAGGTTAATAAATATGGATACTGAATTTACCATTTAAAAAAATTAAAATTATTGAAATTTTTTTTAATTTTAAAAATGTTAACCCCTTACCATTTTTTGAAATTTTGAAAAAAAAAAATTTGAAATTCAAAAATTTATTTTTCGACCGTCGATCTATCCATCGACTTGGATTGAAGCTGATCAAGAATATATATAGAATATATTGGGTTGGAAATGACTCCGTCATGATAAATTTAGTCAAATAAATACATAAGAATAATGGCATGGAATTAATAGCTACTGAGTGTGTTCCCAGTCAGTGTTCTCAGTCTCAGTTGAGACACGAACCTGATCAGTAAGTTTTCAAACTACGCGCCTACTTTCCAATCAGCATGGCTGATCTGGTAACTCTAACCTATATCGGTTATCGTTTCTTACATGTCCAACTTGAGCATCAAACTCGCCTAGCTATAACAAAAATAACTAATTTTTCAATTTAAAGACGAAGAAAAGCAGTTATCGAACAGCATCGAGTCAAGTGTTACCAGATTCACTTCACATTGTTTACGCCTTGCCGCAGTGTTACCAGATACCGCGAAGGGGATGTTAGAAAATCATGGACATTGGCGAATTGCTGGCTTTTAAGGTAAATAAAACAATATTTAATGAAAATTACTGCATCCGCGCACTTCCAATCAACAGCCGGAACAGACGCCGAAGCGGCCGCACGATGAGGACGACGACGACTTCGACACGGAGTCCTCACACGGAAAACGGGGCGGTGGCGACGAGAAAATCAAACGCATGCGGCGCATCGCCGAGGCCAAGGAGTCGGCACACTATGGGAAACAAGGCGGAGGCTCCGCAGCGTCCGCCGGTACCTCGTCATTTGAATTTGACCCTGAACTCACGGAGGAGGAGCGCCTGAACATACTGAAGTACGTGGAGAACGAGGAGGCCGATGGCGATGTGCTGGACGAGCAGGGCCTCAAGAGACTGATTCTGGTCTTCGAGAAGCGTAACCTGAAGAACCAGGAGATGCGCATCAAGTTTGCGGACAGCCCGGAAAAGTTTATGGACTCGGAGGTGGAGCTGCACACCGTGATCCAGGAGCTGAAGGGCGTGGCCACCGTTCCAGATCTGTATCCCCTGTTGGTAGAGCTGCATGGCCTGCACAGTCTGCTAGAACTGCTGGCCCATCAGAACACAGACATCGCTGTGGCCGTGGTGGATCTGTTGCAGGAGGTCACGGACGTGGATATCCTGGGAGAGAGTCGTGAGGGTGCCGAGGCTCTGATAGAAGCCCTACGGAAAGAGCAGATCTGCGCCCTGCTGGTACAAAATCTAGAGCGCCTAAACGAGCAGGTCAAGGAGGAAGCCGATGGAGTGCACAACACCCTGGCTATAGTGGAGAACCTCACTGAAATCGACTCTGAGTTCGTGAAGGAGGCGGCCGAGCAGGGACTACTGGCCTGGCTGCTGAAGAGACTGCGCGGCAAGACGCCCTTCGATCCCAACAAGCTCTACTGCAGCGAGATCCTATCCATCCTCATACAAACGGAGAACGACAACCGACTGCAGCTGGGCTCGCTGGATGGCGTGGATGTGTTGCTTCAACAGCTGGCCGTATACAAGAGACACGACCCAGCGAGCAACGAGGAGCAGGAGTACATGCAAAACATGTTCAACTGTCTTTGTTCCGCGCTAATGGCCCGAGAGAATCGTGATCGCTTCCTCAGCGGCGAAGGTCTCCAGCTGATGAACCTGATGCTGCGCGAGAAGAAAATGTCCCGGAACGGTTCCCTTAAAGTGCTCGATCATGCCATGGCCGGTCAGGATGGTCGCGACAACTGCAACAAGTTCGTTGAGATTCTCGGCCTGCGCACTATCTTTCCGCTCTTCATGAAAACTCCAAAGAGGAACAAGCAGCGTCTGATCTCCGCCGATGAGCATGAGGAGCATGTGGCCTCTGTGATTGCCTCCATGCTGCGCAACTGCAAGGGAACCCACCGTCAGCGGATGCTGGCCAAGTTTGTGGAGAACGATCACGAGAAGGTGGATCGGTTGCTGGAGCTGCACCTCAAGTATTTGGCCAAGGTGGAGGCCATTGACAAAGAGATCGATCAGCAGGCCAAGGTAAGGTAAAAGAAAGGTTTCAAGTACAGTTAATTTCATAAGATACTCTTCCAAAAGGATCCCAGCATCGACGAAGACGAGGAGGCCGAAAACAATTACATTAAGCGACTGACTGGAGGACTGTTTACTCTGCAACGCATCGACTACATTCTGCTGGAAGTCAGCGCCACCGCCGACACCGTCAAGCAGCGCGTGCTGCAAATCCTCAACTTGCGCGGTGCCTCCATGAAGACCATTCGCAGCATCATGAGAGGTAGTACCTAAAAAATCTAAACCACAGAGTGAGGATTAATGTAAACTCCATCTTTCCATAGAGTACGCTGGAAACCTGGGCGATGGCGATACAGATTGGCGGGAACAGGAGCAGACCCACATACTTTCCCTAGTCGATCGTTTCTAAGACTTACACACAATAAATAATAAACAAGAAATATAAATGGTAAACAAATTGAAGATGTACTTAGAAATTAATTTAAAATTTTTACTTGGCATTTTCAAGTCTTGCTTGCCAGACGAGTCCATTTCCGATTCCGTTAAACTCTTCTTCGAATTTCTTTATGTTTTAACTACATTTTAATCGCAGAAGCTCTACTTTTTGTCCTTTTTTCCGGAATCATCCTTGTCGTCCTTTCCATCCTTCTGACCCTTCGCGTCATCCGTTTTTCCCTCTTCCTTACCATCTTTTCCCTTGCCGTCCTTTTCCCTAAGGTTCAGTAGTATTAGAATCGAATAATACATTGTCCTTAAAGCCAATAAAAGTGTTTTTAAAGTGAACTTGTTTCAGCTTAAATTTGATTGTTTTGTGTTTTTAATGTAAAGCAAACTAAATAGCATAATACACAAGAGAGAACGAGCTGCTTTCGAAGCAGTCGCGTCGCAATTAAATAAATTAAAAATTGAAATGAATTTTGCAAAAAAATCACAATTTAAACGTAGCTTCTTTTCCATTTTTACTATTATTATTCACGTGCTTTAAATTGTTGACTATTTAGAAAATGTTTGGGTGCAAAGAGAACACTCAACTCGCTTGGATTATTCGAATTATCTATGACATATCTTAGGACTCGACTCTTCAACAGTTTTAAACTTAACATTTTTGCAAAATTAATTCATCAAATAGTTCGACGACCGATCGACCGAACACGAATACATAATGCTCTAACTACGAACCGATGGCATTTGTTTCATTGAGTAGTTTGTGTGGTTAGAGAGTACATGTTAGGCGTTTGGTTGGTTCTACTTTTGTTTTCGACTTTCTTTTTGTGTCTGCGTGTGTGTTTATGAGGTGTTGACTTAGCCAGGTAACTCGATGGATTTATCTACTTTTGGGCATCGGGAATCTCAAAGTTCACATCCATCTTCATTTCGCGGGCCAGCTTGACGATCTGCGCCAAGTGAACAGCCAGATCGGCAGCCTTGTCCAGGTCGTCGCGGGCCAGAATCTTGAGTCCAGAGGTGCGAATCAGTTCACGGGCCTCCTTCACCTTGGTGCCCTGCAGAAAAATGTTGAATTTATTGTTACAAAGCTTGTCTAAAGAAAGAAATCCCAAAGATCAACTTACCTGAAGACGCACAACGACGGGCATGTTCAGATTAAGGTCCTTAGTGGCAGAGATGATACCTTCGGCAATAACATCGCAACGCATAATGCCGCCAAAAATGTTAACAAGGATGCATAGCACCTTCGGGTCAGAGGTGATGATCTTGAAGGCAGCCTTCACAGCCTCGGCCGTGGCACCACCACCAACATCCAGGAAATTGGCTGGTTCACCGCCATACAACTTAATGATGTCCATGGTGGCCATGGCCAGACCAGCACCGTTCACCATGCAACCGATGGTGCCATCCAGGGCAATGTAGTTCAGGTTGTATTTGGCAGCCTCAACCTCTTTGGGATCCTCCTGGGTCCAATCGCGCAGCGCGAACAGCTCCTTCTGACGGAACTCGGCGTTGTCGTCGAAACGCAGTTTGGCATCCAATGCGAAGACTACAATGAGGTAATTTTAAACATATTAATATCTTGTATAAATAAGAGATTTACAAGAAGTACATTTCCAATGTTAAGTATACTTACAGCCTGGACAAACACAAAATGAAATCCAGCATTATGACATTCACAAATGAGTTAATTGGGTTAAAGGTGGTATGAGGTATTAGTACAAGAATGATGGAAACATTTAAGAGAAATTTATAAACTTGCAAACTTACAGCCAGACATGGCATCCTCAGCATAGGGATTGATCTCAACTAAGAGAGCATCCTTCTTCACAAACAAATCGTATAGGTTCTGAAGCATCTTGATGTGGGTTTCCTCTCCCTCGCCGCCCAAACCGACTTTCTCGATGACTCTACTGGCTTGTTCGCAGGTTAGGCCCGCATCGATGTCGATGGGCTCATAAATAATGGCGTCGGGACTGCTGGCGGCCACTTCCTCAATGTCAACACCACCCTCCTTCGATGCAATGAGGACGGGACCCTACAAAGTGTACGATTTTAATTATAGAACATGCTTTGTATATATTTTTAATATTCAGACTTACGTTAAAGGCTCGCTCCAGCATCACAGCGAAATAGAATTCACGACGAGGGAATTTCCTCTCGGCCACCATTACTTTGTTGCAAATGCGACCAGCCGGTCCGGTTTGCTTGGTTACCAGCAGCTGGTTAAGCATTTTGGAGGACATCTCCTCGGCAGTCTTGGGGCTAAAAGAAATATGCATTTAATATTCATTCGCAGATCTCAGAAATATATGTAACTTACTCGTAGACGACACGAACGCCACCCTTGAAGCCATTCTTGAAGGTACCCTTGCCGCGTCCACCGGCCAGGACTTGTGCCTTCAGGACCAGATTGTCTGTCTTCAGCTTGGTGGCAATATCGTTGGCCTCCTTTCCATTCTTGGCAACAGCAAATCTGCAAAATTAATGAGTCACTTTAGAACATCAAATAATTTCTGGTAGCTCTTTCCCTTTACGATTAATGATCTTCTGATCTTTGGCAATAAATTATTGATAAGAACGTTTTCAAGTAAATTATACTATCAGCAAGGCGTCAAAATTGTAAGCTGTGAAGGCTGGGAATTCGCAGTGACAAGGTTATTCGGACGTTTGGAAGATGATAATAGCATACCTTTAAAAAGCGCTTGATGGCGTGATTATGCTAGCGTAGGTAAGAAACGATTTTAGCTGGGAATTGTCTTTTAGATTAATTCAACAATTTAAAAGAGTATTTAGCTTCTAAGTAAATTTACTTCCGAATCATTTTAACTTAACAAACAATTGCAAAAGTGGCATAAGCTCAACTATCTCAGTTTTTACATCTTATCAGGACCTACGTCACTGACCCCTGTCACTACTCTGCATCGTTCAAAGTGTATATAGAATCTTATCACCCTTATCATCTTGGTGGCTGCGTTTCTTTGGTTTGTTTACCCCAGTCAAGTAATCAATGCAAATTGTTGGGTTCCAAGACAAAGTCCGAAATAAAAATAGACCAAAGACCGTTGTCGACGCAATAAGCAACGCGGCACTTTCGTTGGACTTTGAACCGAAACTTTGCCACAGATTGTTGCTATTATTTTTTTTCCCCGGAATTTGATAATTTCCGAATGGGATTGGTATACTCACCGTGGTGTTGGGATTTTGCTTTCGTTGAGGAGAGTGTAAGAAACATGTTCCTGGACGTTGAGGTTCCTCAATTGCTGTACGGCGATGGGAGCCAGGCCGAGAATCTGTAAAATAATCATATTTTATATTAAATCCTAATCAATTTCTTATTGTTAATTTTTCTCATGGATTTTAATCAAAGAATACAAAACCCTGCTTTCAGTCACGAGGTCATTGTCAAGCAAAAAAATATTTCAAAACTGGTTCGCTGACTCATACCAAAAAAAAACATAAACAAAATGAGCAAAAGAGACGGAATGTGGGTTAAGAGCCCGGTCTAGCGGATAACGGCATTTTCACGATGATAACCAAATCTAATTCACAGATTAAAAACTTTAATTAGAAGGCCCGGCAACAAGAACAACAACAAGCTAGAGCAAAGCAACAGTTGTCAGCCGCTCATTGATAAAAAAAAATAAAGTAGGGGGAATAAATAAGGCTTTCAAGGTCCGCGCACACACAAATACACATACGAGTTGCGTCACACTAATACAACAACAGAAAGTCAGGTGTCTTCGCGGGATCGTGATTCTCTTTGGCCCTTCAACCACATATAGTCTGTTTTACTGGCGAATTATTTGCTTAACAATTTGATGCACATAAAAAACGCCAGCTTAATTAAAGCATAATTAGCAGAAAAACAGTTCAGAACAAGTAAGAGGGAGCGAGAGACCAAATCACTCTCGCTGCACCTCTCTCTTTTCGCCATATTATGTAAAGCGACGGATTTTTCGCATTTTACAATCTGATTCACTTTTTGCTACGGCTACTCACCTTCTTGACGGCCGCCGGCCTAACGGAATCGAGTAGGGGACCGCCCGTACGTGCCAAAAATGAAGCCATTACGTTCTGGGAACAAGTTAATACAAACGTTTAGGGAAATTAAAATTATCACAACGTTCAAAGCTTACTTTTTTTTTGCCGTCGCCTGCTAAACAGTGTGACCGGGTATCAGTTTGCTTTGGTCACCCTGAAATCCGGAGCTGTTGCTTAACATTTTACATCTTTTGCGCCTGAAAAGCCGTTCTACACGTTTACAGATACATGGGGTCGAATTCTCACTTTTGGGGTTGAGTTCTCACGTAAAATGTAAAATGTAGAATTCGTAATATAGCCGCTCTTTTCTCTCTCGGGTGCTGACGAGTCAGTGTTGCCAGGTTAGCTTATTATAAGCTAGTTCTAGCATATTTGAAACTAGAAAAGCTTGAAAAATTTCCATCTAGCTTATAGCTTGAAATATAGCTTATTTTAAAATTCATCTAGCATATTTTAGCTTTTTATGTATTTTTGACATCCACGGAATGTTTTTTACGAAAAATATGCTTTATAGCATGAAAATATTGGAGTTTGTTCTTTTTTTCCGATGGTTATGTGCATTTTATGTGATCGTGAACTTATTTCTAATCGAAAGTGTCATCGGAGATCGATTTGTTGGCTGAAGTGTTACCACCAATAATTTTGTTGTGTTGTGAAAATAGGTAAAGCGTGTCCTCAAAATGCCGAAAGTTATATATAAACAGATTTTTCGGGATGCTTGGCTCCAAAACAACGAATTTAAGTGCCAGGAGAAGGAACCAAAGCATATTGTTGCTACTGTAAGTCGACAATATCAGCCAAAATTTTTGAAATCAGGCAGCATGCGGCATCGAAAAAGCACATTTTATCAATGAGATCAGTTGCTGAATCGCAAAAAATAAATTTTCCGGCTAAGTGTTGCAAGACTCAGGATCAGGAAGCAGCGCTTTGTTTGTTCATTGCCGAACACTCGGCGACGAACAACATGAAGGAATTGATGAAATATTAACTAATTTGTTTTAAGTGCTTACTTTAAAAACATATTTTTAAGACTTTCTTTAATAATAACATATTCATATAATATAATAATATATATTATATGTTTCGTGTTTTCTCATATTTGGGTGTAGCTTGTTTTTTCGCATTTTTTAAAAATTGTTTAGCTTATTCTAGCTTATTTTTTTTTAAATCTAGCTTATATGGGCGCTCATCACCTGGCAACACTGTGACGAGTGGATGTTAATTAACAGAACTCTCTCGCAGGTGCTGTCGGGTGTCGGTCGTTGTTTGGTTGTTGAAAATATACTAAAATACAAAAATATCAATAAATTTATTTAACATTTTACATGTACATGTAAAATTAATTAACAAACCATTTATCGATAGTTAGATAGGCGCGGATTTTGAAGTTATACAGCTGATAACAAATATATGATTTTTTGTATTTGAATTATTTTTGATTACTTAACTTCTGGTATTTATTTATGCCCGTTTTAAATTTATTTAATTTCTGCAAATTTATAATAAAATAAATAAGATATTTGCGATTCCCTTTTTAGTTTCTTTTAATTTTTACTTTTTTTTTTAGAATTTTACATTGCAGCTTGTTATATGAGGACATACCAAAAAAAAAACGTGATCACTTTCAAAACATACAATTAACATACATACATTCAAGACAATAAATTAGTTTATAGATATTAAGTAAATAGAGAGCTCTTCTAGAAAAGACTGTGAAGTAAAGAAGCATTATCTGTAACCTACACTGTGCCAAAAAACACACACAACCGCTTAGCGCGCGCACTTCCGGTGACGTGTCTGGGGCAGAGTGTAAGCTTTTTTTATAAACTTTTCATTTGATTTATTATTTGTTAGCAAAACGGAAACAGGAAGACGAAAATGGCGCAAATGCTCCACTTGAATCTGCTTGAAACACATCAATAATAAATCAGCCGCGGCGTTGATTTTGTGCAAGCAAGTAAAAGCTTCAAGTGGAGCGAAATGCATTTTCATTGTGGGCCAAAATGCAGCATGACTCAAATGTATCGTTGAGAACCACGCCCACCAAGAGGGCGAGTGGCAATACAGGAGCATGGAGCATTTTGGCCCAAACAAATAAGGTAGAACAGAACAGCAAGAAAAAACAGTTTATAACATTTGCAATGATTTGCACTTAGATTCCATTTGGCTTTGCAATCCGATTTGTACATTTCAAGGGGATTGCAAGGGGAAATGTTTTTAGGGAAAAGTAGAAAGGAAAGTAAGGCTTCAACGTGCCTGAAATTGATTTGCAAGTGAATTTGCACTCAGCTTTTGGGACAGCGGCAAAAAGTGGTCACAAACTCCGACAGGCATAATGCAAAATCAATGACAGGCAGACGTTGAAAGCCTTAAGAAATTAAAATCTAACAATGAACACAAAACATGGAATTATTTAAACAATTAACACAAGCACAAACATACAAATACACATAGACATAAACATATACATGGACGCGGGGACACACATAAAACACATTAAAATAGTACGTAGGCGAATTCCAAATAAAAGCAGCGAGCCGTCAGCGTGGATCAATCGTAAAAATCATCTTCAATATTGGCTGGACCGGTGCCAGCCCCGTCCAAATGGTAACCAAATACTCAATACTCCAGACTCGATTCAATCATCTGCAGCACACGCTGCCTTCCAATTTTGTTCCAGAACAAATGAGGCTCCTTCGAACCCGACACGGAGCGGGGTGAGCTGGAAACGTAAGATTTTTATAAGTTTTAAGATATTTCATTCCCAGTTCGAATACTCACTTCTGAAAGCAATCGAATCGAACGATACCCCTCTCGTTGATCAGACAGGAGTGTATATCGATCACCTTCAGGTGACCCCTGCCCTCGGCGCGTATAAAGTTGTTAAATCGCAGGACCTTGTCGCACAGCCCTTGTCATGGCAATAGTTAGCCAGGGGAGCCAGGGTGGTGAGGATCGGGACAAACCGACGGCTGTGCATCTCCTTAATGAGCAACCGAAAGTCATGCTCGATCTGGACAAGAGGCCTGCCCCTCAATATATCCACCGATCCGATATTGACAATTATCTGCGTCCGCTCGGGCAGGTAGACTTTCTTCAATCGATTCCGGGCACCGTTGATTGTCTGGCCGGAAACGCAGAGTCCCGACTGTAGGATCCGCTCGAAACGTCTAAAACGACACTTGAGCTCCATCCGGGCGAGATATAGAAGGAGATCATCGCCCATCAGTGGAAAGTCCAGAAGGTAGGCATCATAGTCCGAGCTAATGGTTAACATGGAATCATTATGTGTTCCCGTGGACATGGTCGTGGGTGTGGTCGTCCTTTCATGGCGTCGCTTTCTCTCACTGGCGGAACTTGGACGCCTAAAGATGTCCAATTGTGGATTGAGTATCTGGTTGAGATTGGGGCTTTGATGGTTCTTGTAGGGTGGTTGGATTTGGATCAGTTCCGGATTAGGCAAGTGGTTTGACTGCTCCGGATGATCTGTATAAATTTGGTTTGACACTGGCATTTCCGGTGCATTAACGTTGGATTGCTGGTAGATGTTGTTGCTGTAGGTTAAGGAAATTTACATTAATCATTTAATATTTTAATTATATATATAGATTTATATTTAAAAGTAATCTACATATTCAATTTAGTTAGCTCTTGAGCACTCACAGATGATTCCAATTGTCCTGGTAACACCAGTTCGACTCCGCTGCCGCCTTGGCCATTTGCGGCAGCGCTGCCGATCCGGTATTGATAGCCTTGCTCTGGTCATCCGCTGACTTCTCCGAGCTGACCTTCGCCCCCACATTGAGGTTGTTGTCCAGCGGGGACAGAGCCCGGCGCTTGTATCCATTACGCCAGTAACGCGGTGGCGCCCGCGGTGCACCCATCAAGTATTTGTCTTCCATTGAGGGTGCTCCGCTGCTGTAATCGTTCCGCTGTTTCTGGTTAAGGACCATGTCCAGCAGGTGGCTATTCTCCTTATTGGGCTTGAGGTTAAAGATCCGCTTGCCATTGTGACTGCACTCGGCGGTCACATAAGGAATGGTTAGCAGAAAATCTGTAATATTTTCCTCGAGTGGAAAGCGGTTGCCCGTTTGTTTGCGATATTCATCTGGAAGGATATAGATTGGGATTAAGGAGCATTAGAAAATTAATTAATTGAAATAATATATAATAAAAGGAATCTATTATAATAATAATTTTCTTTGGTCTAACATTTTTGGAAGCTTTAGAAAAGCCAAGTTACAATTGAGAAAAGCACATGTAGAAAGTTATATAACATTCATAGGAAATATCTAGAAATTTCTGGAGTCAAAAAGTTTCTAATAGAAACCTTTTTATTATTTTTTATATTATATATTCTTACAATTTGAATTATATTTTCTTTGTTTTTCTACTGATTTAAGTTCAAAAGGTAAGATGATTAACCAAGCTTACAAAATGGAAAGTTCCATCGTATGAAGACACTATATATCTTTATGATTGAAGATCATATTATATATACTCACCTTTAATGCTCGATATCGTGATTCCATTCTGGGCATGGCTTAGCAATATAGCCCGTATCTCCGCATCAATATCGGGATACTCATCCCGCACATCTCTATAGTTGCTTTCGATTATAGTCATGGTGCTGCTGGTGGAGTAACTCTGGCTTTTCCTGCTCCTGTAGCTGATACTAGGTGTGATGATCTCCTCCTCCTTGGTGGAGATCAATGTTGAGGAGAAGAGTCTAGCTACGATTTGCAATTGCTCTTGGCTTCTTTGCCCATCGGCCAACGGCACTTTCCACAACTCCGGCTCACCGCCACAGCCTTCGCTTTTCCGTCCCGCCTTAAAGATCCTATAAAATTGTCGGACAAATCTCGACTTTTCCGGAAAACTTGCCGTACAGTCGGCCCTCACAAAGATCTTGCTATGGGAACTTTTCCGAAATGTGGTAGGTTGCTGAAGCTTTTTGCACAAATTTTCCCAACACGTGGCCACGTGCTTTTTCAACGACCTCAAACTGTTGGCTTTGGTACTCGGATTACTGTTCAACTCGCTGGGGAATTCACTTCTAACTGCGGCCATCGCACAAACGAAAGTGATCCAATTGATTTCTCCTCTAATCGGTGTTTCTTCTTCCCTTTTGCTCTCTTTATCAAAGTTTCTCTGAGTATAAGCTTTGATTTATAGGAGAAGTGCAGGTGAATAGGGAGGGGAACAAAGGGGAGCAAAAGGGACTAACTGTTATTACTTATCGTAATTATGATTTCCAAGTTATTCCAGGTTTTGGAGCTTTTGAATTTCCATTAAGGTGGGTCGTCTTTGAAAGTTAAATATTATATACAATTATAAAATATATATTTTTAAACAAATTATTTTTTCTAATCTTAATTAACACTAAGTTTCCTAGAAGGTTTAAAATTACCTTTAGGCAAAGTCTCATTCACTTGAAAGATTTATTATATTTCATTACCATTTGTTTTCTGTAACAATCTTAATGCAATTCATCATTAACGATGTGCTTAATCTTTCTGACTTTAGAGAGCCACAATTTAAAGCAGGTTACAAAGCCACTGACAAACAATTATATCGAATTACCACCTGCAGAACCATTTGACGACGATTATTCGAGTCGTTAGCACTCGGCATACAGCTGGACATTCATTTTTATGGCCTTTCTCTTGGTCCAGATTAGACAACAGCATGCCAGCTTGGTCTTTTGCATTGTGCCTCTGTGATAAGTAATTACAAAATTACGGAATAATAAAAATTCCACAATAACTCAACCACCATATGCGGTGGGTCTTGATAAACTGCTAATCTGCCAATCGGCAAATGGAGCTACTGACTGCTGCTGGTCCAGAGCCCAAAACAATTCCCCAAGACAATTATCATCTCGGCCAAGTGCACCTGGAGATCTTTGGCTAGGGGGTAAGGGTAATATGGGTAATGGAAGCAGTTCGTCTGAGGATTGATGGATGATGACTATGGGGCCCTTATTTCAACTCGAATAGGTTTTCTCCGCCCCGGAAGAGCGTCAGACAAACGGAAAGAAGCTTGTGGCCTGATTTGACCAAGTTAATACAGTGAAGCTTATGAATAAGTAAAGAAAGACCTTTTAAGACATTTTTTCTAATATAGGTTTAGGATTTAAGACGAGAGAAACCATAAAACGTTGTTATTAGCTGAATTTCTATTCATTTTTTGGTTTGAAAAACAAAATAAAGTATAACCTTTAGAAGTTTGACTGTATCTCTTCCCCATCTAATCCACCCTTACTACACTTAATTGCAGAGGAAGCTGCAGAGACGTGACGAGCAATACTAAATGGAAACATTGGGCAAAAACATGTGGCACAATTGATGATAACACTCCCCTTACCCCATTTTCTATTTGCTGAATGTATGTAATCCTCTCAATAAGCTTTGTTCTGGAGTGATTCACCCGGATTTCGAATGCCATTCAACTTTCCCTTTTGGCTGGGAGTTTTGCAAATATTTTCCTGAATTCATTCGCATCACAGTGCAATTGTTCCTTAATAATAGTAATTTGCATTCAAGCCTTTCATAACACTCACACAAATCAACTCTTGTTCTGTCGACACCCACCTTAGAACTACAGTGGACATTGGCTGTTGTTGGTTTAACAAAAAATTGTTTTTTTAATCCAGAACAAAATATTCTTTTCCTTTAAACTTAAAACTTTATTTTTTAAAACCAAAAATATATTCTAATATATTTTAAATTACTTAAATAGTCAACTAAATGTAATCCTATAAAAGATTAAACATTCAGCGTTGAGGATGAAATACATCTTGTATTTTTTTAGATTCTTAAAAGCTCTTATATTACACTCTTCGTTAATGAACTTCTAGTGCAAAATTAAGGGAAATTTTTAGAAATATTTAAATAAATAATCAAGAGATTATTATTATTTTCCTGCATCAATGAAGTTAACCATCATCTTTGTAAACTTTAGCTCTCCTTTCCATATGGCTATGACCTTTGTTTTCTGGCTTTATTTATTTTACTTTTTTTTGCATTTAAACATTTTTCCTCATTTGATGGACAACCTTTGTGGCGCTTTGGCAGGCCGAGGGTGGATTTTGAATAGTAAAGAGCAATTTACTGAGGAGAATTATGAGCGACACACTATATTCATTGGGTTCGACTGCATTGCTGCATAAATTATGGACAAACAACTTGTTGATATTCTTTCTGCCAGTTTGCCGGTTAGGCTAACTCCGAGGTTACCTCGCAGAGGGCGGTAAAATGTTCGGGGGATAGGCGCAAATTATCGTAATCAATTTATGCAAAAAACCATTTAGCTATTGGCTCACTTCGGGGGCGGGTTACACCTGTTAATCTGCCGACAGGCGGAAAATGTCAGGAATGCTGCTGGCCTGGCCTGGAATTTGCAGGCCAGAGATTTCCCCTTCGGATCAGTGGTTCGGTAGCAGCTCAAACAGTAATTTCCCTTAATTAGCCTTATCCGTTTCCATGGGCTGGCCAAAACATCTGTTATTATTATTGTTCTGCTGCCGGAGCCACTCACAATCATCGATTGGCCAGCAAAAGGGCCTTAATCAGAGCACCGCAATTCAAACACACGTAATTAGAGTGCTCTTCTGACAAAGTGTAAGGAAATGCAGTGGGAGAAATAGTTTGATACAATATTAAAAATCAAAAAAGGTAAAGAAACCCAAGAAAATGTTGCAACCAACTTAGCATAAGCATTCAACTTTCTTTCTATTTTATATCATATTTTTACAAGAAAGAAAGCCAGTACTTTACTTTACTACTTTCTGAACTAAAAAGCTAATTATTTAAATTATTCTAGGCTTAAAAGCTTATTCGATTATTTCGAGCAGTGCTGCCTGGTTGTTTCCTTTTCTGATGACCGGTTACAAGTTGGCCAACAGATTGTAAACGGCAAGGCACTCAAAGTTAAACGGCTAAACATGTGGCTGAGTGTGTGGCCAGTGGCAATTAATCAAGGCTAGGTGTCGTACACCGTAAGACTGCTTCCGATTCCGGTTTTCGGACTCCCTGAGAGAGCTCCAGCTCCTCATTATGTCCACACGATATGGTAATGTCCATCGTCTTGACTGAAGGCTTCCATCTCCGTTTTGCTGTTTATAATAAATTGGAAGAGTAAACATATTCTGTATAGAAACTAACCGAATTAAAAGCGAATTAATTTTAAATTTGCTTTAAATCCTTTAACATATTAGCATTAAGCTGTTTTAAGCCAAGGCTAACTCAAGTTACGTGATAATAATACCGTATTTAAGCAAGGAAAAAGAAACAAAGGCAATTGTTACGTTACGTTAACTCAAAGCAAGCAACTCAAAGAGAGTCCCAAAGAGAGCGAGTGCAATGTAAATACAATTACTTTTTATTTGCTTTTATTTTACACTCAAAACTCGGTCTGTCGCTGCAACTGCAACGTTAACATTATCATGCAAACACAATTGCAAGTCATGCTCTCTCTGTCTTTGAGACTCTCCCGCTCTTTAGTTAAACCGGTTCCCACTTACTCTCTACTCAACTAAACTCAATCAAAGAGAGTTGCCTTTGCTCGAAAATAAAATACCCTGCACTTGCTGAGTGTGTCGAAATATTTAAATATTAAAGAGTTTTTATACAAAGGTTTGTCAGTATATTTTAAATAACCGCTCTTTGCTTTCCATTTCCAATTACTCCTTCTCTAAACTAATTCAGTTAATAATTAATATTGCACATAATACATAAGCCAAAACAAAGTAATGTATAAACACATATACTCACATGAAATACGATTACTGAGTATGATGGTTTACTCACGCTAAGAGAGAGACGTCAAATGTAAAATGTTAAATAACAGCTCCGTATTTCAGAGTGACCAAAGCAGAAAAGTCAGCCGCACAGAGATTATAAAAGCAGCCGCGACCAAAACAAATACAACAGTAACAAAATAACCACCGAACGCGCAGCACCTCCGTCGAGTTTTTTTCCGCGAAATATACGAAAACTACGAAGTGCCGGTAAAAGTAATGCTAAATTGATAAAATAGTGTACATCGGATTCAGAAATATATAAGAATTATATATTTTCACGAACCTTGTGCGGGAGTAACGAAGTGGCGGAGAAAACGAAAAAACAAATAAAAATGGCGCGCTTTTTCGCTGTTTGTTTTGCAAAAAGCAAAGAAATGCGCTTGCTTAAAGGAAAACAAAGCAGAGTGTTTTTAAATAAGTGTGATGTCGTTCTATGACTACTAATACTTAAACAAAAGTGAAATAATAAGGGAAAATAACATATAACTACGAAAACAAAGCAAATAAGGTGTAACCTCCACTGAAAGTACGCGAAAAAAAGTGCACACACACAACAACAACTAACAACCGCAATTTCGGCGCAAAGAAGTGCAAAGAAAAGGCAAAACCTATTGAAAATCTCCCAAATCTAATGCAAAAATGCCCGAGAGGCATGTGTTTTGTTGTTTTTGCAACCGGCGAGTGCAATAAATACAGTAATAAACCAGAGTAAGAAACGGTAAACAACGGAGAAGATGACGCGCGAGGAAGAGGAAGAGGTGCGCTCTCTCCTGTGCCGCCACCAAGAGCGCATTATGCTGGACTTGGGCAGCACCGATCTGCTGGCGGTGCTCGTCAAGAACTCGGTGCTCAGCCAGTCGGAGGAGGATCTGCTGCTAAAGCCCTATGGTGCCGTCACGCCCACGCCCTCTGCCGCCGCCTCTGCCGGCGTCGTAGCGGGCATTGAGCCGCCCGGCAGCGCTCCATCGCTGACTAAGCGCAAGCTCAGCGCCGTCGCCAGCAGCGGGAGCACGGCCAGCGGAGGCAGCGGCGGGAGCGGGGGCAGTGGATCTTCGCGCTGTGCCAGCGTTAACGGTGATGCCACCTGTGACAGCCGCTCACTAACGCCATCCGGCGGTGGCAGCGGCGGCGGCTGCTCTGGATATAACGACGCCGAAATCCTGCGGCTTCAGTGCGCCAATCTCATAGAGATCATTGCCAAGAGTGGATTCGAGAAGTTTAAGCAGTTTTGCTACGCTATCGAGTGCGAGTGTCCGCAGCTGATCGAGGATCTAATTAACGAT